TAACAACGAAAAACAGATAATTTGGTACGTACTTCATTGTAAATTTGTCATGTAAATCCACATAAAAAATAAGGTTTTAAAATATTTTAGATAACATAAACCGTATGTTTTCTTAGATTAAAGTGTGTTAAGCGCCAAGAAATTTTTGTAATTCCATAACAACCAGTAAGCATAAGCGATGAAACCTGTGGTTTTTAATATCTTGATAACCTGTAAATTAAAAAGGTATGTTTTTAGAAAAACAATACCTAATATTTTTGTTATTTGTAATTTTATAGTGTTAAACTTTTGTTTTTAGTTGGCTGAAGAGGGGCAATAAATGCCCGAAACGTGTGTAATATCAACACGTATCAACTAAATAAAAACTTGATGATAAAAATTGCCAAGTGCCTGAAAATAAATACGATAATAATTTGTTTGAATTACTACTAATAACTACTAGCGCGGTTTCAAAGTACCAGAATAAGAATTCCGAAGCTGAAACGGCAACAATCATCAAAAAATGGATAAGGGTCAGCAAAAAAACAACAACAATTACAGAGAAAAACTGCAAGATTAAAGTGTGTTAAGAGCCAAGAAAAATTTTTGTAATTCCATAACAACCAGTAAGCATAAGCGATGAAACCTGTGGTTTTTAATATCTTGATAACTCGTAAATTAAAAAGTTGGCTGAAGAGGGGCAATAAATGCCCGAAACGTGTGTAATATCAACACGTATCAACTAAATAAAAACTTGATGATAAAAATTGCCAAGTGTCTGAAAATGAATACGATAATAATTTGTGTTTGAATTACTACTAATATCAAACATATCATTATTTCTTTACTTTACAATAATTCAAATAACGTATGGATTTTTCACAAATCCATATGTTATTTGAAGATCTTTTATGGATTTTTCACAAATCCATAAAAGATCTACTGTATTGAAGTCACAAAAATAATATTTTCTGTTTTATTTCTATTGACCTGAAACCTCCAATTTTCAAGGCCAATGGAAATATAACAGCAATTAATTATATGAACAATAATACCCTATCTACAGCCTGAAGAGCTCTATATAAAATCCAATCATGTTACAAAGCTTTGGGTACATCAACTATACAACACCCAATCAGATGGCATTTTAAAGAATTTAAATTTGACATTTGATTGCACGTGTTATATTCAAATTTTTCTCATTTAATCAGTGAAAGGATGGCCTATTGAATACCCTAAAAACGTTAGTTTAGCTGTAAATAAATTATCTCAGCAACTTAAGGTGTATTTTGATGGTCTGTCAGGTATTCATTTCTTTTGTTTTTTTTCTTCCAATGTAATTTAAGTGTTCTATTCTTTTTCTTATTCTTGTATTGATAGAGAAAAACCGGAAGAGTACAGTGATCAAATTGAATGTTATTGCATTAATTTGACAGTTAGTGTTGTCACATAAAGGGCATTTGAAAACTAATAAATGAAGTTATCAGTTTGGATGAATTACAGAAATTTTTTGATAAACATTAACATACTGCTTATATATTTACATTTAAGTGACAAAACATCAATATTAATATTTTATAAAATTTAAGATTGTCTTAACAATAATATATACAAGATCCATATTAGGCTGGTGCTTTTCTTATTCCTAATAATTATAATTTTAAAATGCAGTTACAGCTATTTTTAACTTTACTAAATATATACACCTGAATAAAAATTATTTTTTTTTTCTAAAAACAAGAAAAGAAAAGAATTTTTATTCAAGTCTATATATTTAGTAAAGCATGTTTGTGTTTTGTTTAAACACTTCTCTTTCAGAATACTTCTGAAATATTCTAAAAAAATATTTTTCATAATTTGCTTATTGTAAAATAGAAATATAATGAATTAAATTCTTTAAATTATTATAATTGATGTAATTTTTCAGTTTAAAATCTGTATTTAGAAGAAAAATTAACTGTGATATTATTAAATAAAATATTTTTGTAATATTTTATATAAATATATTCAGGTAGGTCCAATTCCTTGGTTAGGTCCACAAACTGATGTTGCTATGAAGGCATTTGTTTCCAAGGGATATAAATCATTTTTAGTAATACCAATAAGTTTTGTTAATGAACACATAGAAACTCTTCATGAACTTGATATTGAATATGGTCAAGAATTAGGAAAAGAGGTGAGTAATTCTGAAGTTAAAAATATTTTTGTAATGCTAATAAGGAAGATTTTTTTTACTTTCTTTAGATTGGTGTAGAACATTTCAGAAGAGTACCAACTCCAAATGATCATCCAATATTTATAAAAGTAAGAAAATTAATTATTGTATTTAAATTTAATAATAATGTCATATTTTACATAAAGTGATAATTAATTTTTCAGGCACTTGCTGAATTAGTAAAAAACCATTTAGAAGTTGGTGAAATATATTCTCCTCAGTTACTACTGAGATGTCCATTATGCGAGAATCCAGTCTGTCATGATATGAGAAAGTGGCTAAAATCTTTAAATCTGTAATATTATTATTTATACATTTTTTTTAATGAAAATATTTTTGTAATAAATAGCTTATTTTAAAATAGTTTAATTATGATTTTCTTTTTAAAAATATTTCTAAAAGTTTTTTTATCACTAACAATAAATTATAAAAGTTTTTGCTTAATTTTTAATATGACTTTTTTTTATTTTTACAAATCTTGATTAAATATTATAATTTTTAAATAAAGAAGACATATAAGACATTTAAATAAAGAAGTACATAGACAACCAGCTAGACATACTTTGAGAGCCACATTTATCTTACTTAACATTGGTTAGAGACATGGTGATAGTAGAATTATACATGTGAAAATATGCAATGGAAAAAATATTCAAATAGACCATATGGCAAAGTAATATAATATTGTGATGTAATGTAACACTGTTATTTATTTGCTTTACATTTTTTTTTAAATGTTAGAATAATCAAGTCTCTCATATGATGGGCCACATGGTTGACATTCAAGATGCTGCAAGTGGCTCACAAGCCATAATTCAGTCACTGTTGTAATTGTGAAATGAGCTCTGAGAATTTTATTTCATGTACTCATTTTATGTTTTTAACAACTTTATTTTATATAAACAAATGAATAAATTATACAATATGAATACATAATATATAATAATTCTGTTTTATTAATAAAAATGAGGATAAAAATATACTTGAAATTCACAAAAATATAAGGTCAATGTGGGTAAATATGAGACAGCCTGAAAAATTGATAAATATGAGACAGTTGTGAAATTTGACTTAATCTATGTCCTATGCTCTGTCCTGTATTAACACAATATTAAGTTTATTTAGTGCTTTTTAACATATAACTTTACTGAATAAAAATGATTGTTTCATTGAGTCTTTTTAATTTTTAAGAAACACTACAAAAATAGGTGCAAAAATTTTTCTGTCAGTTCAATTAACTTTTGCTCTGTATATGTTTGCAAAAGACATGTATATTTAATTAGAAATTTGTGTGTAGTATATAAATGCAGCTTTCAGCTGCTAGTTGTTTTTATTGAATATATCATCTTTTGTCTGCATTTTGTGCATTTCAAAATGAGATATTGATAAAAAATGAGACACACTTTAGGTAAAAAATGAGACACCAGATTTTATTTACCAGTCATTAATTTTCATGAAACTTTTTTTTTAAGTTCATCCTCTTAATATTTTTGAAATGTAATAGGTCTACACCTAATTTAACCTTATTGTTAATACACAGAAAACAGCAGGGCTATAGTTTTATTTTCTTCATTATTTTTATTCCATGCTAATTAAATAAATAATCAATTGTTCCTAAAACGTTTTATTTTGGTGAAGGCCTATTTTATTTAGACTAGGCTAGTTATGTAAATTTTCTTTAATTAGTGGTAGGCTTATTACTTTTTCTATGTTAATATCTCTTTTAATAGGTCATTATTTTTAACAAGCCATTGAATAAAGCTTTATGTCTAATAAAAAAAAATTGAAGACAAAACTGTCCAAAAAGGATCACCATTTATTACTTGTGTTCCAAGACTAAAACATTTTCGGTGACTGACTTTCCTTTTTAGGCTACTTGTCGCCGGAAAGTTTACAAAAAGTCCTTTTAAAAAACACAAAACACATCTGATTAAAATTTTAACCAATTAAATCCAACCTACACACAAACAAATCCAATTAAAAATGTTTACAAAAAAGTCCTTTTAAAAAACACAAAACACATAAGTTTACAAAAAGTCCTTTTAAAAAACACAAAACACATCCAATTAAAATTTTAACCAATTAAATCCAACTTACGCACAAACAAATCCAATTTAAAATGTTTTAGTCTTGGAACACAAGTAATAAATGGTGATCCTTTTTGGACAGTTTTGTCTTCAATTTTATTTTATTAGAAATAATTCTCCATTGGACGAACTTTTACAGAAGAAATTTCTACATATATCGTCACCAGGAGGCAACTTCTCTAAAAATCTGCATTTTTTAGTGCTAATCTTTAGTAGATAAAAAGAAGAAGAAACCCCAAAAGAAGGTATGATGGAAGTAAGCAAGACAACTGTATGTCACCAGTTCCTTTTTCAGAAATTTTTAAAA